TCTCCTGTATTCCGGGGCTGATAGATGTTGGGTGTGCAATGGTATGCACAAGCTGTGAGAGCCGTGAGCCCCTTCTTCCTGGGAGAATGTGAAATAAGAGAAAATATAAAATAAATAGTCTAAGTCATCAACTATAGTAATTAAAATTCAAAAGGGAAAGATATACTGGAAACTTCGAACGGAGTACCTTTAGGTCACTGGATTCCCCCCATGGGGAGTCTATGTCTATGAGCTCCTCATAGACTATGCCAAATCTCACCCATGTAGTTTTTCTTTGGATCAGTAGAATTTTTTAGAGTTGCCCCAACCATAGAAACCTTGTAGATTTAGAGAATTAGCTGGAAACTCTGGGTGGAATTCTCTTGATTTTGTTTTTCTAGTATCACGAGGGCCGTTCTTACACGTCTAGATGAGCCTTGACCTGAGAAAAGCTGTTTGCTGGTTTGTCCGGGGTTCCATGGGAGTGTCAGCGACAAGATAACAACCGCTCACTGTCCTGCGACAAGAATCAAGCCGGATGTACATGATGATTGCTCAGCACAAGGAGATCTAAATGCTAGCCTCTCCTCCACCTCTGAACCACTGCAAGGGAACGAATCAGTTACCTTCTCTCCAAGGCCTTGGCCACAGAACAGGAGTATTAAAGGGAGCTATCTTCCTACTTGCTAAAGATTTTAAGAACTTGCTAAAGAGATGGTGGAACACAAATACATCACAAACACATAAAGTAGCTAAGACCCAACTGTCTCTGAGTTGCTACAAAACATGTCATTCTCCAAGGTTCACACCCAGGTCACTCTCTTTTCGGGAGGGGCCGCAGCTTATCCCACTAGAACGGAGAAATCCTTGGAGGCAGTGAAAGCCTCACTGAAGAAAATAAGCCCTCACTTTGGCCTCCCTGGCAGCATCCACCATGATAACAGACCTACTTCTGTTTCAGAAACTACCCAGAAGGTTAGTAAACTTAAGGAATCAAGTGGAGACTCTACACGGCATGGAGACCCCAGGCTTCTGGGAAGGTAGAGAAGATGAAGTACATCTTGAAGAAAAACATAGCCAAGCTGTGTCAAGAAACTCCTCTCCATCGTGATCAAGCTTTTGCCTATTTCCCTGCTCAGGATAAGGGTGGTTCCTCAAAGTGGGATTCAGTTAAGTCCCTATGCTACTGTGTACAGGTGGCCACTCAGGCTATGAGTGGGGTGGGAGATCTATGTATGTAGATCAAGAAGTGAAGGTAAAGAAATGTGTACAATATTTAAGTCATACTTAAGCTGTAACTAAGGACCTTGCCTGTATTAGAGACTTCTCCCCCACAGGTTTGCCACACTCCTTTGCACCTGCAGATAAGGTGCTGCTCAGACTTGGAAAAGAGCATCTCCAGAAGAGTGGGCTAGACCTTGGGAAGTACTCCTCACCACCCCGACCGTGGTGAAGTTGGCAGGAACAAAACCTTGGACTCATCACACCAGCATAAAGAAAGCACTGGAGGAAACGATGGACCGCCGAGCCTCAAGACCTGAAAGTCACCTTTCAAAATCAATTTCGTCACCACTTGTTTAACCTCTTCCTTATGGACAACTTATTCCTTTCAAACGAGATCAAAATATTTAGGTATATTTAGCAAAAATGTTCTGAATATTTCTAACTTTTGTCTTGCAGGAGGAATTTATATTAAACAAGTTTTCACTTCATGTCTTGTAGGTGTTTGTACACCCTTGGAAAGCCTCAGAAATTATACTGTTTGAGTATATCAAAAGAAAATGACCTACTCCGATATTTATAATTGGGGACTGGTGGTAACTATAAAGGGCTGGGAAACATTTTCCTTAATGGTCGCTACTGTACCCTGGCTAGAAGAATGTGCCACTTGTCAACTGTACTAAAAACTGTTCTGTGCTCTGACAGGTGTGAAGGTGAATTGCACCACTACCACTGATGTATCTTACACTTTTGCTCACGTTAAATCGTCCACAAGATGGTTTCTGATATGTGGAAGGACTCTGTCGTTTTAACCTAACTGATCTTACAGAAATAAGATATTTTAAAACTAACAATGGGGGAATGATAAGGGACTCAAGAGTTGTGAATTTTTGAGATAAATGGTTACAAGCCTACTAAGTAATGCATATGTTAAAGCTATTGTTCCAGGAACTGAAGGTGTGACCCATCCTGACTCCAGGAGACCATAAGCAGTCCCACCTTTGTGCCTCAGGAGGACTGCAAGCAATGAAGATGGCATGTGAGCCATTGTGCTCCAGAGTGAGATGGCCACCGCCCAGGACATAGCTAAAGACTACCACCCAGAGCGAGAATACTGCAGTTTTATTAATCCAATTAACTTTTCCCTGAATTCCAAATCCCATACCTACACTTTGTTCTCCTTGTAAAAAGGTCCATTTTAGAATGGAATTTAAGACGGTCTGTTAGGGTATGAACCCAGCGTCTTGTCAGATCGCTGCCCATCTGAATAAAGTGCCCATACAGATTCAATCCCCGTCTCTGCTTATGGGTTCGGTTTGTGACAGGCAACAAGAACACTAGTCTTTCCCGGTTTCAAAAGGATTTAGGAAGTTGTGAAACAGGAGCCAAGACCAGACTCATGTGGAAGAGCCACTGGTAACAGCTGTAAGTTGGGTGGAACAAAGCCTCAGGGTGTCTCCAGGGCAGGGCAAACAGTGTTAGGCAGGCTGGTGGAATCTCAAATGTGGCACACACCTTACAGCTCTGTGGCTCTATTGGGGGAGAGTTCAGAAAAGGGACACTGGCCTCTGCCTGCCTTTCTGTCTGGGAGAAAGCTCTCCTCCAGCTCTCGCCTTGATGCCAGACACTCTGTTCCTCCCTGTGTGCCACTGGTGTCTTTCAAACTGCTCCCCCAGTGCTGGAGCTCAAAGGTCATGAGTCTGAGTGAGTCCATGTGTGGGTTCTTTAAGAGGAACTACTGGGAACTCTAGAAGTTTCTTCCACCCACTCAATCCCTGCTGGTTTTTGCAGTCAAAAGTTAAAGGGACACAACTTCCTGGCACTGGAACCCTGGGCTGGGGGACCTGGTATGATGGGTCTGGGACTCCTCATTCCCAAGATACGCTTCCTGAATTTTTATCCACCACATGTGGATGTGGGACCAGCCCGTTCCGCATCTATGCTCCTACCAGTCTGGATGGATGTGGTTTCTTAATTCTGTAGCTGTCAGACTTCCATTCCACTTGATTTCTGATGGTTCTGAGTGATGGTTGTTCTATCATTTAGATGTAATTTTGATGTGGTGTATGATGAGGTGAGCCAGTTTACCTATTTGCTATCTTGCACAAAAGTAAAAATTTCAGATTTCTAACATAATGATCAGAAAACATAATCTGCAGCACCAAGAATCAGCTAACTCTTACTGAAAAGGGCCAGATACAGTAAAGATCTTAGGTTTTGCTGGCTAAATGGTCTCCATTCAACTCTACCTTTGTTACCCTAAAGCAATCAAAAACAATATGTAACCTAGTGAGCATGGGTGTATTCCAACAAAACTTTACTTACAAAAACAGGCAGCTGGACAGATCTGGCCCAGGGCCATAGTTTGCCTTGGTTCACAAGGCACCAATTCTTCGGTCATTGTTAAGACCTGCTGTTACCTAGCACAAGAAGTTTTGTAATGTTCCATGCATGCTTGACAATTATCTTATCCTTGGCCTGCTCCACCTCTTTAAAGTGCAGGCCTGGCCCATGTAAACATTTGCTTTTGTGAAACTGTCACAGGTTTAAGAGATTGGGTGTTTGGTATCAGCCAGCCCTCAGTTGCCAGCTTTAACATTTGCTGTTGGGTGGTTTGGGACAAATTATTTAATGTCTCTAACCCTCAGGTTCTTCATCTATAAAGGAGAAAAATAATAGTACCTACCTCACGGGATCTGCATTAGGAAAGAATCAATTTGATAATCCATATTATCAAATTATTATAAAGGACATAGCAGAGTGCCAGAGAGACTTCGATCATGATCGTGGGTATTGGCATTATCTTGCCACTGAATCACTACTCTGTGAGGCAAGTATCATTAAACCCATTTTACGAAGAAATTAGGGCTCAGACATACTTAGATAGCTTGCCCAAAACTGATAGTAACACAAAGCACTGATTCGCAACCAAACTTTTATCTCCAAATCCAAAGTTTCCAGCACTCAGGCTCTGATTAATCCAATTCCACTAAGACGGGAAAAGACTTACACTACGCTGCTCCAAGGCAAGGCTCACTTTAAGATATGCAGAGAAAGGAGTTGCGAAAGCACAGGAATTCATTCTTGGCTGTGCTAGTCCTTGGGAGGAAAGGTATAATTCCCGGAGTTCTAGACTGAAAGGGCACGGGAGATACTAGAGGATGTTACAAAGTACCCAGATTTCCTGAACCAGTGCGTGGAGGTTTATAACCTGAACACACTCTTTTCCTACTTTGATCCGATTCTACGGAGGCGGTGTCAACCAGCGACGCACCCAGGGTGGCGCTTCTCGGCCTCAATGACCTTGCTGCCCACGGCTGTGCTACCCTATTTGACTCTCCCCCTCCACGTGCCTGGGGCGCTTGGCGCCTACATACAATCACCCCGGCTGAACCTCTCGGAACGTGCCTTCGGCTTTTTAAAAGGAGAGCGCCGTCGCCACTTTGAGACACATAAATCACAGCCCTGACATGCGGTTGATTCAGCGGGTGACGCGCCGCTGATAGTAGCGACGAATCCAGCCCCTTTGGATGACCTGAATTTCTCAATTTTTTTCCCTCCACTAGGCACATGCCACATGTGTGAGGACCTCCGGGCAACCCGAAGACCGTGTTGAGCGCTGGTCAAACAGCCCAGGCATCTCCATTTCTCCCAGGTCAAACAGCTTGGAACTCTTCAAAGCCATACCCTGTGACAATCACGAGGGCTTAGCTCCGCCCCGATGGTGACGGAAAACTCGTGACTCCGACCGGAGCGCCGGGCAGACCCGGTGAAAGCAGGGGAGGGGTTGCAAGTCGGAAGTCGAAAAAGCTTCGGACTAGCGGCGCCTGCGCAGACTTACGCCTGGGGACCTACTTCCCGCCGCTGAGACTCGGAAGCGGGACGCCAAATCTGTCCCCGCGCAGACGCCGGCGGCGGCTCTGAGCCGGGTGGCCGCCCTCCCTGAGGCGCGCGTGCGCACGTTCCCACGCACGCTCCGGCGTACGGCGGCGGCCAGGGGTCGCGAGCCGGTGGAGGACCCGCGCGCGGAGGAGCCGGGAGAGCCAACTCTTTTTCCCTCCCTTCCCCACTCCCCTCCCCGCTCCCTCCCCCCTCCCCAAGAATGTTCCGCTACGAGGTGAGCAGTTGCGACCGGAAATGACCCCTCCCTCCCTCTGGAGCCCCTTTTCTTTACTTATTCTCTGTGCTTCTGTCCCGCGCTCCTCGGGGGGAGGGGACGGGTGATGTGACCGGCCGGACCCAGAGGAACGCATCAGGCCTGGAGTCTTGGGTGTATCTGAGAGCCGTGAGCTGGCTTCAGGGGGCGGCACTATCCTATTAATCGTCGCTGGGGGGAGATGGCCTCTTTTTGAAGTGGGGAGGGCCCGTTAAGTGCCTTACCCGGACCACTCGCCAGCCCCACCCTGGGAGGAGCCTCGAAGAGAAGGCCTTGCACCCACCTGGTGGCTCTTCCTGAGGAAGAGTCACTGGGGAAAGCCCAGAGATAGGTTTCCCGCCCTGGATCCGGAGCCACATTCCCTCCAGTTCAAAACACCCATACACACAGGGAGCCATCCGGTCAGTGGGACCTGGCCTTGCCCTTTGACTGGGTCCGTAGGCTGTTTACTAAAGAGGCCTCGGAGTTGGGAGGGGGCGTGTCCAACAGAAGTTTCTTCTGGCCGAGTGGGGGGAGACGTAGGTTTTTGGTGTTGTTCCCGGTAATGTAGCAATAATCGAGAGTCCTGAACATGTCACTGATTCACTGTGTGACCTTGAGGGACTCATGTCTCTGGACGTAGGGTCTGAATTTATAGAATAAAAAAGCTGCTCTCGATAATCCCTGAGCGTCTTTCTAATGTAAAAAAACAGTGATTTGATTATGTAGATCTTTGTGATTGGGGAAGGAGTGCTGCTGGATGTTGCATACCTGCTTTGTGTGCGTTTGGGAGGGCTTGAGGTGGCCCTTCGGCCTCACCTTTGTGTGGGAACAGCCTAGCTAAGAGGTGGCCAGGCAAGGTGTATCACAGCCCTGCCGTCGGATTGTAAGTCTTTGAAAGTTATGGACGCCTAACTTGATACGTGATAGGAAACGGTTTAAGACCAAACTAACTTCATGTAAACGTGGAAAGATGATGAGAAGTGGTAAGCAGTTGCCAAAAGAAAACAAAACTTGAAAAATCCGTTAAAAACTGAAGTGGAAGGAAGAACTGTAAAATAGAACCCACCTAGGTTGTTATGGTAATACCTGGCTTTGTTCAACAATCCACAGTCTTTAAATCTGTGCCTCATTTGATTCTCTTAACTGGGGAAGGTGGTGTACCTGTATTACCACTTGGGAGACTAGAGCCTAACAAAGCCTGAGACACAATGGGTGCTCAAGAGGTATTTAATGAATTGATTGCTGCAAATGACTTGCCCAAGTTCATACTATGAGAGTTTGCTTAATTGTGTTTGAAAAGCTCAGCTTTAGTTTTATGACCAGAGTTTGGGCCTGTAGGGAAACAGAAGGGGGGAAAGATGGAAAATGAAGAGAAAGTTTTAAAAGGGAATAATAAAATAGTTGACAACATGACATGAATATGGGGAAGATTAAAATTTTGTTGAAAAATATACTAACACTCAGGTAAAATAGTAAAGAATGCGTTTTCATCTGTTGTTACTGTTAACCAGTGATGCAAAGGAAGTTGGCATTCCATGAGGAAATGTTATTAGATTCCTGATAGAGAATCGTAATATTTGGGGGTAAAGGTTAAATGAAATAAGGAATAGGAAAGAGAAACTGAAAGGAAAGAAGATACTGACATTTTCTAATGTTTGGGGAAATTGGAGAATTAAAAGAATGCCATCTTTACAAAATCATAATGAAGCTGTTATGTTGGGTGGGAAAACAAGATGAATAGCTTCAGAACATTTTACAGTGAGGTTGTGAACTTCATGAATATCTTCTTTTTTAGTCTTTGGAGGATTGTCCTCTGGATGAAGATGAGGATGCATTTCAGGGCCTGGGAGAGGAAGATGAAGAGATTGATCAGTTCAATGATGACACGTTTGGGTCAGGTGCAGTTGGTAAGTGACATCTTATACATCATACTGATTTCTTGCTGTTTTCAGATGCTGTCCTTTCTAAATGTTTTGTCTTAGTAGAATCTCAGTCATTGACTTAGCAAAATATTCCACTCCTGGTCTTAGAATAGTCTGGTTTTGACTGGAAGCATCCACCCTTCTGGGTAGATGGGCCTCTTTTGCCTCACTTGTGAAACCAGGTGTTCTTCAAGTCTGGCCTCTGCCAGCTATGTGATATACTGCTCTGGGTTGACACTGTAAGGAATTCAGATGGTCAGAGAAGTAGACATCTGACAAACATTTCAAATTGTCCCAGAAGAGGGAAATTTTTATTTGTAGAACATAAAACTTAAGGAAAACTAGTGGGCCAGGAGGAAACTCAGATTCTGATATATATGTTTTAAAATTCAGTTGGTCAATAGTGTATAGTACATGCCCCTGCTATTGTCTTTTAATATGTTCCCATAAAATAGAAATTCTTTTTGTTCCAAGAATTTTGATGATAGAAAATTTCTCTAAGTGAGAATAAGATGAAATTTTCCTATGTATGGATAGAGGTAAAAATTCTTAAGAGTTGGAAACGATTATAAAAAATAAAAGAACCAACCTATTCTTAGAAGTCACAAATTTCCCATTACTGAAATGGGAAATTTAGAGAGCTAGCTTGCATGGTAAAGTTTGAGAATTATAGATCCTAGGACAAGTACACTAATAAGTTAAAATTAAACTCTATATTTAAAAAATGAATAGGTTAAGATTAAGTGCAAATACTTTTGCTTTGTTGATATTGAAAACAACAACTTTTTTGCTGGGATATGTAGAATATGTGTGATTTCTTTGGAATCAAGCATTTCTGTCTATGTAACAAATTTCAGAGTTAAGTAATAAGGAGAAATTTAACTGTAGTGTATAGTCCCAGGATGTTGAATCTCAAAAAGAGGTGTTTCTTTTTTGTTTTGTTTTGGTTTTTTAGATTTTATTTTTAGAGGGGAAGGGAGGGAGATAGAGAGGGAGAGAAACATCAGTGTGTGGTTGCCTCTCACATGGCCCCCACTGGGAATCTGGCCCACAACCCAGGCATGTGCCCTGACTGGGAATCGAACTGGTGACCCCCTGCCATGTGCCTTGACTGGGAATCGAACTGGTGACCCCCAACCCACTGAGCCACACCAGTCAGAGCCAAAAAGAGGTCCTAATGATGATGTAATGGTTACTGGTTTTGCAGTAACCTAAACAGCTTAAATTTATTGAAGCTTAAACTGAGTTGAACAAACTGGAAAAAATGAAATAGTATACTATGTCAGTCAGGGTTTGCAAAATCTGTGGAGGGCTCAAAACTGCCACTCTTTGGAGCAGCAAGAGAAGGTTTTAAGGTAGAAGGATAGACTCATTACCAAAGGGAACCAAAGACCTTTTGGATTGTAGCCATAGTTTAGGAGATGAGATCGGCCAAGGACAATGACATGATCTAAGATGCTGTTCTCACTCCTTGGAGATCACAGGCAAAAGCAATAGAATAGAATTACAAAAGCAGGTAACTGGTGCACATGGTAAATTGTATTTAGAAATTCATTTACTAATAACCCATAGAATACAATGGAAGCTACAAACATTGTGTGCTTGTTTCTAGAACACTTTTTCTCTTAAAATATTGTACTGAATCTTACTTTTTTTTTTAATCCTTATGCAAGGATATGTTCATTGATTTGAGAGAGAGGGTGAGAAACACCAAATGTGAGAGAACAACACTGATCAGTTGTCTGCTGTATGTGCCCCCAACCAGGGATGGAACCCCACTCAACCATAGATCAAACCCGCAGCCTTTTGGTGAATGGGACGATGCTCCAACCAACTGAGCCATCTGGCCAGGGCCTGAATCTTACCATTTGTTAGCAGATTCCTCAGTATTAAAATGAGGTTGATGAAATTGATGAACTCAGCATAGTAGTTGTCCTGTTTTGAACCTGGGCAGAGAAGGAATAGTCCTGCCTTCTCATTGACTTCCAGAGTGCTGTGGACAGTCTTTTTTTCTGATTATTTGTATTCCTCACAAGAGGAATACAGAAAGTATTTCCCCTCGCAAGGTGAAAATATTGCCTGAAAAGGATGCTGGAGTTTACAGAGCTGTATTTTATGTGATAGAAAGAAAGAAAAGTACACACACAATGAAAAAGCCTCTGGGGTTACACAGAAAAGAACAGGCAGTGACAAGCAAAAGCAGTGAAATAGCACATGGTTGCCCACTTTGCACCCACAAGCATAGGAGTGATTAAGAAGGATTTCTTAGTTAACAAAGTTCATGATAAAAAAAAGTTGCAGATGTGAGCCCTTTCCATTGAGTATAATATACTTGAACTGTAAAATCTTAATTCCTCATACCATCTCTTTTTTCTTCATAACTTCTTGATCTAAATACTACAAGGATTTATGAAAGGGAAATTGCTTTCTAAGTCTTCCTGTGTCTTGCTTAATACACCTCTGCAAGTAGATACACAGCTGGTGCAGAGAATTTAAACCAGGAGATAAAATGTCAGACCTTTGTCACGTGTTTTGGTTTGATGATTTCTAATTCAAGGAGTGAGTGTCTTGAATGAAACCTGTTAATACAGTAGTTATTTTAAGTTGCTGGCTACTCTGATGTCACCTTCCCTTAAACTAGTCACTGTCTTCTGCGTGGAAAAATGTTTGCTTCCTCACAGAGCCGTAAATGGGCCACAGTAATCTCAATTCATTCTCTAAAAATAAATGCTTGCACTTACAAGATGCTTATTATGTGCTAGACACCATTCTAAATGTTTTATATATAACCTTCACAGCAACCTTGTGAAGTAGGTACTGCTGTTATCCTCATTTTAACAAATAAGGAAGGGGGGAAATGAGGAAGGAAAGTGACAGAGGGATTAAGTAACTATAAATGGAATCAGTGCAAACCACCAGTTAAAGCAGTCTTTGGGCAGCTCCCACCTTTATGTGGAAGGACTCCACATTCTTCCTGCTTTTATTGGTAGCTGCTCTAATAGTTAGGGACTGAGAATGCCTTAAAGTTAAATCACCTGTACTCCTTAATCGTTTTTATTTAAAGATATCTCTGAGCCCTGGCCAGTGTGGCTTGACTAGAGTCGTCCATACACCAAAAGGTGTGGGTTTGATCCCCTGTCGTGTCTCGTGCGGGAGGCAACCAGTCAGTGTCTCTCACACTGATGTTTCTCTCTTTCCCTTCATTTCTCTGGTATTCTCTTGCCTGCTGTTTGTCATTTGACCAATGTGGATTGAGATCCAGTATTGGCATACTTGAATAACTATATGTTTAGGTCATCTGAAAAGATACACAGCGAAAGCATCCTCTTATAAGGTTTGGCATCTCTGACATTGCTTCAGATGGTTTTTCACAAGAGCACGTAAAACCTGAAATGACGATGATGGTATTCGGTGCACAGATTCCTTTGCTTACATGTTTGAAAAAGTAACAATTCCCAACAGCCATTCTCACAGAATATTTAACCAGTGTTTTTAAAATGTAATTGTTAAGGACTAGTAGACTTCTTTTTGGTTAGGATCTGGTAAAGTTAATAAAGATAAGTATGGAAGCAGTGAATGAAAACAATGCCAATTAGAACTCCACTGCATTGAAATCAGTCAGTTAACAAATTAACTTATTAAATTTGGAAAATAAATATAAAAACATTCCTTTTTCAGGATTATAAACACCCCTTTTTTTGGCATTTGCTGAATTAGTAAAATTATTTTAAAAAATATTTGTCCTTTAAAAATTTTCTCAGTTTACTCTTCCTTAGCAAAGATGCCATAAGTATTAATGTCACAATTGATTTTTTAAAAGATTTTATTTATTTATTTTTAGAGAGGGGGAGGGAGGGAGGGAGAAAGAAAGAGAGAGAGAGAGAGAGAGAGAAACATCAATGTGTGGTTTCCTCTTGAGCACCCCTACTGGGGATCTGGCCTGCAACCAAGGCCTGTGCCCTGACTGAGAATCGAACCAGCAACCCTTTGGTTCGCAGGCTGGCACTCAGTCCACTGAGCCACACCATCCAGGGCATGACTGGTTTTTAATTACACAATTTTTTCAAGAATTTTTTTGCTGACAACATTATTTAAATTAATATTTAGTTTTCATGTAACATGGATTTTTCCCTTTACCACAAGTAGTACATTTATATCTTCTGCAGTACCCAAAGACCAGGCAGTATGGTTCTAATCATACCAAAATACAAATTTGGAAGTCCCACTTTCCTCACTTTTTGGACTACTGATACATCATACGTTGTTATGCAGTAAAAATAGCAAATTCTAAATGTTTATAATCTAACCCTGAAGGGGACTTAACCTACTTAAATATTTGCTTAAGTGGATAATATTCATTATAGTATTAATCATTATATTGAGAATTTGCAAATAATCTAAATTGCCATCAGTAGGGAAAAGCTAAATTAGTCAGTTTGTCAGTAGAATAGGATCTTATATAAAAATTAAAAAGAATGAATTAATATTATCAGTAGTTACCTGTGTGTGCATGCATGAAAAGATGTCCAAGCTATAGCTCTTAGTAAAAAATAAGTTAAAACTTAATAGTTTGCAATATAAAAATTTTAATATATGGAACTGTGGGAAACTTCTAAATTACATTTTGTGTGATGTAACCATGTATTTTTTTTTGTAAGCAGAAAAAAGAATAGAGATAATTTTAACAAGTCTCACATGAGCCTCATCTATTACACCCTATGTATCAGGCATCTTTTTTCTTCTCCTTTCTTCTAGTAAGGCATATGGGAAAATTATATGGAGAGAATTGTCATTAAAGACACTTTTTGAGAAAACTCCGTTTCTGTGTTAGTCGTGGAGGGAATTCCCTTGTTATTTCTCTGTTAAATTTTATTGAACATACAAAACAAAATTAAAATAAGAATAAAATATATAACATACAAAAGAATACCTGGGTGTTTTGTGAATTAGAAAGTAGTGCATGTTTCAATGAGGTGAAGGTAGAATTAAAAAGGTTATTTAGGGAAAGCTTCAATGAAGAGAGATAGGTGGCTGAATTTGAATGCTTAGAGGAGCAAAATAGTATGGTTTTTATAGTGGAAGCAGAATGTGGTGATGAGATTGAGGCGCTCTGAGATGAGAGAAGTGATGGAAGTAAGGTACAGCTTTAGAGAAGCTGACAGAGGGTTCTGAAGACACCCTTCTGGGCTGTGGCGAGACTCAGAAACCATCCTGTGTCAGCGTGAGGAAAAATGAGACGCAACCTGGTGCCAGTGCTACAGACGGGATGGGATAGTAGCGTACAGGAATTGCAGACGTAACCAAAACAGGAGAGGAGCTGACCTGGATCCAGTTCACCATCACCTTTGCCCTGGCGTACTGCAGTAGCCACCTAGCAGTCCTCCATGCTTCCAGTGCTGCCCCCATCCTGCTTTCAACACAGCAGCCAGAGGGATTCTCAGAAAGTCAGGCCACATCAAAACCTTCAGTGGCCCCTCATTTCAATCCAAGTGGCCCGAGAGGCCCAAAAGCCGCTCCCTCCTACTATCTACCTTTTTGACCTCATCTTCTGTTATCTCCCCTCTTGATCATTGCAGTCCAAACACGGTTCTTTCTGTTTCTCAAAATCATCAGTCTCCATTCTGTGGCCTTTACACTGACTCCCTCACCATGGGACACTTCTCCCAGATACAACATGGCTAGCTAGCTTACTCTTGAATCCTTTCCTCAAGTGTTACCCTCTCAGTGAAACGTACCTCCAACCATCCTATTTAAAGTTTTCAGTCTACCTCTCTTCCTCCATATTCCTGTAGTATTGCATCTTTTAATGTAGTGTCTAATTTACTTATTTACTGTGTTTATTGTCTGTTATCCATCTCTTCCCTGCTTAAAAGAAAACTCTAGGAGGGCATGGATGCTTGTCCATTTTGTACATTCATGTATCCTGTGCATCAAAAACAGGGCTTGTCACATAACAGATTCCCAACAAATATTGAATGGAATGAATAGATTAAAAAACTTGTAAAGATGACAGTTATAATCTAAGAGGAAGTTGTATATTAGTGCAATGAGTTTTAAATTTCCTTTACATTTTTTGCCTGAAATGTCATAGAAACTCAAGATCAACAGTTTCAAAATTGGTTTCAGAATATAATTTAGATACCATTGATAATATACTAAGCTATTACTCTAAATGCTTCAATTTTATTCCTGGTATGATGTTATTTCTAAAATGAAAAGCCCACTTTATTATGCCCCATAGTTTAAACTTTATTTCACGTGTCCAAGTAGAAATTTAACTTTCCAACTATCTTCCGGAGTTGGAATTACTCACTTAGTTAATGGAAGAATTTTATAAAACTTACTAGTTTGAGTGTGAAGTGAATTTCTTTATTGTGATTTCCTTATAGATGATGATTGGCAGGAAGCACATGAGCGACTGGCTGAATTGGAAGAGAAGCTACCGGTAGCAGTCAGTGAACAAACAGGAAATGGAGAAAGGGATGAGATGGACTTGTTGGGTGACCACGAGAACCTGGCCGAAAGGCTCAGTAAGATGGTGATTGAAAATGAACTAGAAGACCCAGCCATCATGAGGGCAGTGCAGACCAGGCCTCCTTTGCAAGTGAGTCAGTTACTCTGAGCACCATAGCAGATTAAGTGAGATACTGGCTTTGCCATTTTATTTCATCTACTGTAATGAGAAAATTACATGTGCTCTAGAAAATTGTTTAATGTAATTCCTGATAACAATTCTAGCAGTGAAGGTGGAGAATAATGTATACTCTGGAACACTGTCATTTCTTTTTCTCAAGTAGTTAAGGCTCTTAGGGAGCCTTGTTCCCCAAGAGCCCCCGCTATTCCAGACTTAGCACGTTTTCCCTTCTTGTTAGCCCCAACCAGGAACTCTCAATTCTAGCATCTGGGATGGATCTGAAGTTCTGAGGCGAATTCGAGGGCCACTGCTTGCTCAGGTATTAAACATTTTCTCTTTGTGTAAAACTCCTAACACGTGAAAACTGCAGGTTGGGCTCCTGTTGTCATCCTTTCCACGCAGAGACATGCGTAGTTGGGTATCATTGGTCAGTTGTATGTGAGTTGCTTCACCCAGCACTCACAGTTGCACCTCTTGGCTACGCCCTGCCTCAGCCTCAGGGGCAGTGCTCACTCAACTGCGCTTTGCTCTGAGTGGGGCCGTTGTTACTCAGCTTTGTCAGCCTGCAATTTAAGTTACTTAGAAAGTTATTTCTAGGCAGGTCTGTAAGACTGGAGAACAGATAGGGTTTGCTGGTGTTTGGGGTGGTGGGAGGGCTCGACTCCAAAGCCACAGCACAGAGGAAGTTTGAGGAGTGACAAAACTGCCCTGTGTCTTGATTGTGGTGGTAGATTTATGACTCTGCATTTATTAAAGCTCAGACAACTGTACACCAAAGAGGGTAAATTTTGCTGGGTATGAAATAAAGTTAAATTGAAATTCGAAAAATGATTTCTCAAGATATTTTTGGCATGTGTAGAGACTTTTAAAACATTTTCAAGTTAGCTAAAATTTTTTTTACTACTTCCTTAATTAGGAAATGCCTACAGTGTCTGTGTTAGAATATGCCTTGCCTCAGAGGCCCCCACAGGGCCCAGAAGATGATCGGGACCTTTCCGAGCGGGCATTACCGAGGCGGTCCACTTCCCCCGTCATCGGGAGTCCTCCTGTGAGAGCCGTCCCCATAGGCACTCCACCTAAGCAGATGGCTGTAACCGGCTTCAACCAACAGGTACCTCTCATTAACAGGCACTCAGCCCAGGATATTGGGAATCTGGGCAAAATTATTTGGGAAATTGGTTGTACTGGGAGGAGGGCGGAAGTTTGGGGTAGGCATTAGATTAGAAAGAAAAATAGCCAGTTGGAGGAGAAGTTAGTACCAATAAGAGACACATTCCCTAAAGCCCTTTACTGGTGCTGCTCCTGTTGCTCCGCTTTTTAAATGGGGGAGAAAAAGGGTAGTTAACCACATTTAGTGTATATGTCCTTTTTAAAGGGTTTTGCTGGCTGCCCAAAACATTAGCAGAGAGGTGACTGAAAGCTGGGGGGAGTGGGAACAACACAGCATTGTCCACATCCCTTTTTACCTTTAAGATATCCCTGCTTTCCCTAGAGCCTGTGCAGTCCTGTTCCATAGACTTTCCTCCACCTGAAACGAGCAGCTGAAAAGGAAGGCCAATTTGGAAGGTATGGGGGGAGGGTGGTGTTGGTATGGCCTAGTTAGGCTCAGGATCCTATGACAAGGTGGAGTCACAGTGTATCACCAAAGAGCTGAGCATGGCGGCCATATCACAGGGGCTTCAGAATAGGACTTAGTTAATCCTCCAGCTTTCTTATCATTCCTTCTCCCTCACTGCTACCAAAATACATCCTCTTGGAGAGAATTTGCAAGTTCAAATATCTGCTGGTACCTCCCTCAGATAGCATGGAAGGGTGGGGATAACTGGAGAATTAGCTAAATCTTCCTCAGTTGCTTGGTATTTGTGAGAGGCACTGTTGCTTGATATTTGTGAGAGGAAGTGACCGAAGGTTCTATATCTGAACCCATAGCCATAGCAATTTGCTTAGAAATAGGGCTTTGCATTGAGTTCGGTGTGTCTGCCAGTACTAGAGGGGAGGGAGTGTAGGCGGAGGAAAAACTGACTTCATTGAGTGTAGTTGTTTATATGTTTGTCCCGATAGATTCTGTGTCCGAAGCCTGTCCATGTTCGACCCCCAATGCCACCACGGTATCCTGCTCCCTATGGTGAGAGGATGTCTCCAAACCAGCTCTGCAATGTCCCGGTAGGTCACTTGGTGACCAAATGAAAACGCAGTCTATATTTCCTGGTCACTAGTTGTGTAATCACTATACAAATGGATGGACTTCTCCTAAGTTGTGCATATTTTTTCCTCTCTCTCTCCTTGAATTTCTGTATCTTCTGGTCCCCAGGTCAGAAGACATGGTTCACTATGTTCAGTTGTTTCTTATCTCAGTTTTTTTCTTATCTTTAAAACTAAAGTTGAGTGATCATCTGGTTTCCTGCTATCTCTGTCCCTCGTTCTACTGTTCTTTTTCTTGTTACATTATCATAGTACTTGGTAATTTCAAAATTATTATTTTATATTTCTTCAGTGGAGAACTTGACTGTACAATTTATGAGTTTTTATATCCAAGTTCTGCATTTCTATTGAGTTCCCTCATTATACTGATTTACTTGTTTTGTAGTGTAATTTTTTTTTCTTTTTTTTTTTCCTAGAACTCTTCCCTACTGGGTCACCCTTTCCCTCCTGCTGTCCCTCCTGTTCTCAGCCCCCTCCAGAGGGCGCAGCTGCTTGGAGGAGCACAGGTAAGCCTTGAATAGCCCTACTGATGAAGTGCTGTCTTACTTCCCTGAAGTGTGATGGACGATACCCTTTTTTTACTCTTTAATCAATCACTATTGCCCCCTTTTTTTTTTAACATTACCCTTTCAAACAAAGTTACCAATTGAAACAGTATTTTGACTTTTCTGTGGATAAAAGCAAGGGGGCTTGCTGATGAACTAAACCTAAGATTTTGTCCCACTGTAGCTACAGCCTGGACGGATGTCTCCCAGCCAGTTTGCACGGGTCCCTGGATTTGTCGGTAGTCCACTTGCTGCCATGAATCCCAAGCTGCTGCAAGGGCGAGTTGGGCAGATGCTTCCCCCAGCACCAGGCTTCCGTGCCTTCTTCAGTGCTCCACCCGCCGCTACCCCACCTCCTCCACAGCAGCACCCGCCTGGCCCAGCACCTCACCTGCAAAACTTACGGTACGCACAGCAGATGCTGCTGTTTATTCATTGTTGGCTGTCTCTTGTCGATGTTTAATGTTATAAAATGGAAGTCTCTTGATTTGTGCAGGTGATAAGTTTTGAGATGTTACTGGATCCTCAAGTCGCCGAATGAGTGTTTGACAGTCTGCAGGCTTTCTTACGAATTCACATTTTCCCCAAGTCATGTGCTTTACTTGATTTTACTTGATATTTATTTTATGAACACACACACACACACACACACACACACACACACACACAGTGTGTTACCTAACAGGACGTACCACACACTGAGGGTTCCCCAGAGACACAGAACCAACAGGGGCCGTGTGCGCATATGCAGGGTGGGGCAAAGGCAGGTTTACAGTCGTTCATATGGAAACTGATACAGTAAATAGTAGTAATAATACAAGAATAAACTTTCACATGGTCACACCTGTAAACCTACTTTTGCCACGCTCTGCACATACTCACCTTCTATTGTGTATGTCTTCCAAATGTATATGTAACTAAGTTTTTTGTTATTGAATCATCTATTACATATAAATAAAGAACATAACATACAGTAGAAAGTAAGTACTCATCTTCCTTTGCAGTTTAATTCAGTTTTTAATTTTGACAGTGTAACAAGGTGCTACTAATTTATATATTGAAATTTGAGTCCTGAGTCTGAAGTTTATGTGGTGGGCTGGCAGTTGGGAAGCTCAGGCAGGACTTTTATGTTTCAGTCTTGAGGCAAAAATTGTTTTTTCCTCCGAGAACCGGGTGATGCCCTCCCACTTTACATCACCTTTTCTTAGAGTCAGCCAACTGGGAAGATTAATAATCCCCTCTACAAAATACGTTCACAGCAACATCCAGACTGATGTTTGACTAAACATTGGGGCACCACAGCCTCCCAAGTTGGCATGTGAAATGCACCATCACACACACTTGCAGTATCATTCCCAGGTGGTTGTAACTAAGTACGTTAAATCTGTTTAGGGACTTCTGCTTAACAGTAGCAAAAAGACAAAAAATACACTGCTTTACTGTCAGCTCGCCCGGATTTGTGATTGTCTGCTCAGGAGCTGAGAGCTGGCCTTTGTGGAAGATGTCAGAACACAAAAGGCCTCCTCAGAGTGGACGTTTGCCTTCCCTTGAATGAACCTGCATGAAGTTATCTTGTGCTGCCAACACTGAAAAATTTCAGATCGTCAGGACAGCAGCATTGAAAACCTTGTCCCTTTGTCCTTAGACCTCAGGCCCCGATGTTTAGACCAGACACCACTCACCTTCATCCACAGCACCGTCGACTGCTGCATCAGAGACAGCAACAGAATCGAAAGTAAGTGCTCACCTCCCTCCTTTGCGGTTTCTTAATTCGGCTTTTCATTTTGACAGTGTAACAAGTGCTGCTAATTTCCTTTACCTTTTTAGTAAGTTTAACTAATAATAAGCTTATTTTACTGGTAAAGTCAGAACATATAAGCTGTCATTTTACATTTTTTGATACATGGGATTTAAATGACAAGATTCTGTCAGCTAGTTTCCAAGTTACTATAATTCTGTTGACTATAAATCAGAAATGCAGTTTAGATGTGATTTTCCCCCCCAGTGTTTTATATTCACTGCTTACCAAGTTCGTACCATACTCTTAACTACTTTTTGTCTACCACCTCAGCTTTTCAGTAATCTCGAATTATAGTGGCTAGCCTTACATTGGGTCTTCTGTAAAGCCAACAGTCACTCTTTTTTTTTAAATTTATTTTATTTTATTTATATATATATATTTTTTACATCAATGATGGTTGCTTTTTGTGCATCCCCTGCTGGGAATTGGCCTGCAGGGAACTGGCCTGCAACCCAGGAATGTGCCCTGACTGGGAATTGAACCACGATTGTCTGGTTCGCAGGCCCGCGCTCGATCCACTGAGCTACACCAGCCAGGACAACAGTCACTCTTGAATCAGCAAAATTATTTAATCCTCATAAAACAAATATAAATACATATTTATATATGTGACCCCCAGCTATATGCCAGGCACTATGGTAGGTTTTGGGGATTGAAAGAACAGGACATGTAAAACCCTGCCTTAGTGAAGCTTATGTTATAATCATTCATATTTTGTTGAGAACGTAAGCCTCATGATAACTGTTCACTATAACAAAAGACCTCATACACAAATACGCATTCCCAGTAGAACCTACATGGCTCATAAAAATGAAGATTTTCAAACTCACTTGCAATCAGAAAAATGGGGATGAAAATTAGGTAACCGTTTTACATCACTAGATAGGCAAAATCAAAAGTGTCTCATCACTGTCGCTGTTGGCAGGAATGAAGTGTATAGCCTCCTAAGAGAGAATTTGGCAATAAATAATAAGGTTGAAATGTGAATATACCACTTCTCAACAGTTTTACTTTCTAGTACATACCTGGGTAAGAAACAAGGAGACCATTTAAGTAAAACTGAAAGGCACACAGAATAATACTGAATAAAATTTAAAGATGGACATACAAGTAATCAAAGTATAAAAACATTTCATGGAGGATTCATGCCAAAAGTCATTTGTCCAGGAAGAAAGGGAAGCTGAAAACTGGGATCCATCCAGAGAGGTACAAGAGGGCCTTCAGCCTTAAATGCAACACTTAATATTACGTATAAAAATCTGAGGCCAATTTCACAAAATAGATTTTTTTTCATTATGTCTAGGTGGAAGGTTAATTAATTAATTATGGTATTTTCTGGGCTTTTCTCTACATTTGAAGTGTTTCATGATTTTCAACAAGTTCTTTAAAAGTATGTAGACTAGGAATCAAATTGGCCTGTGTCCAGGGCCCTTACTCTGACCAGGTTCAGGTAATTGAGCAAATTACTTGATGTCTGTTGGCCTTGGTTGGTTGTGTTAAGTGGAGAAAATAACTCTAGTAGCTCATAGGGTTATTGTAGGGTGTACATAGAAATCCATAGGTGAGCGTACTTAGCATGTAGTAAGGAAGTCACATCTTAGTTTTATTTTCTTAATTGTGTATTGCAGAACTCTTTCCTCTGAAATTCTGTAAAGATTCAGCTCTTTTTTACTTCTCTAATTTTGACAAAAGCAAAGAGGAATTTTTTTTTAATTGGCCTGGTTTACTCCTGTGTAATTGTAAGGCATAGTTAACTTGCCCACTTGAAGGAAACGTGGCCTGTTTGTGTTTCAGTCAGCATCGGAATCTCAATGGTGCAGGAGACAGAGGAAGCCACCGGAGCAGTCACCAGGATCATCTCCGGAAGGATCCATATGCCAATCTCATGCTGCAGCGAGAAAAGGATTGGGTCTCTAAAATCCAGATGATGCAACTGCAAAGCACTGATCCCTACCTGGATGATTTTTATTACCAGGTCAACACTCTGTGCTGGTTTAGCAGATAGTAGTTTAGTCCCTTCCTCTGGTGAAGGCACTCATTTAAACATTGGTGGAATTGAACATTGATAGCTTTTTCTTTAGTAGTAGTCTTCGAGTGCATAAGAATGACTAAGCAGATTCTGTCCACTTTTCAAGCTGGAGAACCTCTCACACTGTTCACTAAATGGTTTGCATACATGCCTTTTATTTTTCACACAGGCTTTCAAACCCATGTTTTCAAATCCCTTTGGCATCAGTAATCTGCTTCTTTCAATTAAGAATATTGGCGATGTAACTTTAAAGATATTCCCACTAATGATTAGGTTTTTGAAGGCTGGGATTTTTTTGATAAAGGAAATTTATAGTAGTTTTAATTAGAGATCAGTACATTTGCAGAGAGCAAGTTATTATAGCCACTAGTGTAATTATTTATTGGTAAAGAGCTGCCATGTTCTGTACCTGTGTTGCAACTGAAATTACCTTCTCACATGGCAGAATTACTTTGAAAAACTGGAGAAATTGTCAGCTGCTGAAGAATTGCAAGGTGATGGCCCTAAAAAGGAGCGCACCAAGCTCATTACTCCTCAGGTGGCCAAACTGGAGCACGCTTACAAGCCAGGTAAGGCCCTTATCCATAGGGCCCTTATCCACACTAAAAAGGAATGGAGTGTACCTCACCTGTGGCCTCCTGGACAGAGCCCTGCACTTACGGTCAGAAGTCATGGGGTTTTGTCCAAACTTGTTCAGGTCGCAGCTGAGTGCTAGGTGCAGGTCACCTTTCTAAGAAAAGGGATAAAAATGACACTGTCCACGTATTAACTATTTCAGCCAGTTCATCAGTTCACATATATTTCTTGGATACTCCCTGGATGTGAGGCACTGTGCTGGATGCTAAGGAAACAAGGTGGTTACCAGCACTTAGTTTGTGAAGTGTAAATGCCACGGTGCAAGGCCACATAGCATAGTGGTCAAGAGCACAGACTCTAGAAAACAGGCTGCAAGTCATGACTTTCTTACTTCTGAAGTAAGAGAAATTTGGCAGGCTGCTGCTATGTTAAAATGTAAATAATTATATGGGCAATTGGATAGAGATGTTTAAAACTGATTTATAAAGTACCATTGTCCTTAGTAAATACAGAGATCAGCCTTTATTCAAGTGTGGAATAGTTTGGTAGATGACCTCTTAGATTCTTTTCTACTTGAGAGTTTATAACTTTTTACCATCTGTTTTAATTTCTAGTACCCCTAAAATAGATACAGGAGAAACACTAAAGATTTTAATTTGATTATTGTGGCAACAAAAAAATGGGAAAGGATAGATTTTGTAAGAGATGGGTTTAGACGGTAAATGGATTTTTGTGGTAAATTGTGAGATTGTGAGTAAAGAATAGAGAATGTAAAGATCTTGGAAAGCTGCCTGCATTGCTGAGTGCTCACTCCTTGGAAACGCTTTGTCCTTGCAGTGCAGTTTGAGGGCTCTTTGGGAAAGCTTACGGTCTCCAGTGTGAATAACCCCCGGAAAATGATCGATGCTGTTGTGACATCTCGGAGTGAGGATGATGTAAGTGTCAGCAGAATTCTGTGTTTAAGAAATTCTGGGTCATCAGTTCTTCTTTTGGGGTCACTGTGGAACGAAACCAGGCATGATGGAGTTGTTCACAGTCCAGCCTGACCTGGAGCTTCTGGCTGGGTCTGTGGCGGCATCCTGACTTTCTTCAGATTCTAACACGTCTCTGAGGCAGCCAGGCAGGACCCAGGGTAGCAGGAATCTTTCCACTGGGTAACTGGCAATGACCAATATCAGTTATTTTCTCCAGTTTTTACGTTGTCATTTTCTATGCGTTTTCAGATTTTTCTATGATATCTTCATATCTGCTGCACTGTACAATTACCTTTGCCTATCTGTGAATTCTAAGGATGACTTCTATCTGTGAATCCTATCTAAGTCTAATGGTTTGTGTGTAGATTGAGTCAATCAACTCGTGACCTTTATTCACATCAGTGTTTTAAGATTACTAACCTTCAAAAAATCAAGATTGTCATCTCATAAGTATTTTCACAGGTGGAACATACATGTGCATACTTAGAAACTTAACGTTCAACAGACATAAAGAGTCCACATTGAATAGTCTTGTCTCTTTTTAGGAAACGAAAGAAAAGCAGGTTCGGGACAAGAGACGAAAAACCCTTGTTATAATTGAGAAAGTAAGTGTTAGAATTTGTTGGCTATAGTTAGTTTCAATGAAAGAACTGTCAAATGTATACACAAGTGAGCAGTTAGTGTTCCATAGTTCTAATTAATGGGTATATTCTCGATAAGTGCCTATTGTATACAAAGCACACTAAAAAGGAATGGAGTGTACCTCACCTGTGGCCTCCTGGACAGAGCCCTGCACTTAGGGTCAGAAGTCATGGGGTTTTGTCCAAACTTGTTCAGGTCGCAGCTGAGTGCTAGGTGCAGGTCACCTTTCTAAGAAAAGGGATAAAAATGACACTGTCCACGTATTAACTATTTCAGCCAGTTCATCAGTTCACACATATTTCTTGGATACTCCCTGGATGTGAGGCACTGTGCTGGATGCTAAGGAAACAAGGTGGTTACCAGCACTTAGTTTGTGAAGTGTAAATGCCACGGTGCAAGGCCACAGAGCATAGTGGTCAAGAGCACAGACTCTAGAAACAGGCTGCAAGTCCTGACTTTCTTCTGAATCTGTGACTCGAGGCAAGTTATTTAAGGTTTCTGTGCTGTCCTCGGTTTATCTGTAAAAACGGGATGACAGTAGTCTGTTACTCACTAGGCTGTGGTGAGTGAGTGCATCCATCGAAGTTCTTACGACAGTGCCTGGCACCCAGTAGTAAAATTATTACCATTTTTATTCACAGAAGACATAACTTGGAGCAGTGCTACCGATGGTTTTTATTACAGTGATGTTGCTGCTGGAAATTGTAGAAAGGGATCATTTAGAAAAGTCATCATTTCAGTATCATTACATTCCGGATTAGAGGTCAAGGAGGGATGAAGATAATTTTTGAAGAGTTTTTTTTTTTTTAAGTTATCTCATTGTTTTTCTGGATTTAAAAGAGTACCTTTGTTCTCTCAGTGTTATTACAGGGAGGTTTTATTCTTAGGTCTTTATCAGATAGTCCTGAACTGTGGGGTGGTTTATCTAACACTCTGGTCCTGGCGTAGACCTACAGCTTACTCCTTGATGTTGAGGACTATGAACGGCGTTACCTCCTAAGTCTGGAAGAAGAGCGACCTGCCCTGACAGAGGAAAGAAAGCACAAAATTTGTAGCATGTATGACAACTTAAGGGGGAAATTACCTGGACAAGAGAGGTAAGAGTTATACACTTTGAGGAAAACATGAGACTAGCCGGATTCCTTACTCTGCTAAACTGAACTTTATACATTTCTACCTTTAGCCTTCCTCCTTGCCATCCCAGTAAGCTCCAAGTCTGTCCTTTTGGCCTAACTCCAATGCTGCTTTAAGTAAAATATTTTGCAATCTTTCCCAGCCAGCAAATATTCTTTCGTATCTACTAGGGACTGCTGGGTGCCAGAGAGACAATCAGGAATATTATTGTTTCTGATTTTGAGCTTACCAATTGTACCTGATTTATACTTACCAGCATGTTCAGCCCTGTAATCTCTTTTTATTTATTCTATTAGTTGTCCCAACTTTTTTCCTTTGACCTCCCTCCACAGCCCCCCCCCCAGCCCAGAGTGGATTCCCTCCCTCTCCATTGATCATGTCCACGTGCCATTCATACATTTTCTTTGACTCGTTTCTTCCCCTTCCACCATTCCCCTCCTCCCTCCATCCCCCCTGCAGCTGCTGGTCTGTTCCATGTTTCCATGTCTCTCATTCTATTTTTCTCCCTAGTTTATTTTGTTCTTTGGATTCCAATTATAAGTGAGATCATATGGTATTTTGTCTTTTGCCAACTGGCTTATTTCACTTAGCATAATAGTCTCCAGTTCCATCCGTTCTGTCACAAAGGATAGGAGCTCCTTCTTTCGTTCTGCCGTGTAGTATGCTGTTGTGTAAATGTGTCACAGTTTTTTAATTCATTCATCTACTAATGGCACATGGGCTGTTTCCAGCAGTTGGCTATTATAAATTGTGCTGTTATGAACATAGGGGTGCATAAGTTCTTTTAAATTGATGTTTCAGGATTCTTAGGACATAAATCCCAGCAGTGGAATCCCTGGGTCATAAGGCAGTTCCATTTTTAGTTTTCTGTGGAAATTCCATACTATTCGACAGGGGCTGCAGCAGTCTGCATTCCCACCAACAGTGCACTGGGGTCCCCTTTTCTCCACATCCTTGCCAACAGTGATATTTTATTGATTTATTGATAACCATTTTGACAAGTGTGAGGTGATACCTCATTGTGGTTTTAATTTGCATTTCTCTGATGGCTACTGATGTTGAGTATCTTTTCATATGTCTCTGGGCTCTCTGTATATCCTGCTTGGAGAACTGTCTGTTCAGGTTCTTTGCCATTTATTTATTTATCTATCTATCTATCTATCTATCTATCTATTTACTTATTTATTTACATTCATTCATATTGTTGTTCAAGTACTGTTTTCTGCCTTTTACCCCCATCCCAGGTGTTTGCCCATTTTTTTGCTTGGGTTGTTTGTCTTCCTAGTTTTGAGTCATATGAGTTCTTTATATATTTTGGAGATCAAACCCTTGCCCATTGTGTCATTGGCAAATATGTTCTCCCATACAGTTGGTTCCTTTTATGGTTTCTTTAGCCATGCAGAAGCTTTTTAATTTGATGTAGTCCCATTTGTTTGGTTTTTTCCCTTTATTTTCCTTGCCCTAGGAGATATATTGGCAAAAATATTGCTACATGGGATGTCTGAAATTTTACTTTCTATGTTTTCCACTAGGACTTTAATGATACCATGGCTTATAAGTCCTTTATCCATTTTGAGTTTATTCTGGTGTATGGTGTAAGTTGGTCTAGTTTCTTTTTTTTGCACGTACCAGTCTCAGTGGTCCCGACAACATTTGCTAAAGAGACTGTTTTTACTCCATTGTATGCTTGTGCCCCTTTTTCAAATATTAATCGACCATAGATACATGGGTTTGTTGCTGGGTTCTCTATTCTGTTCCATTGATCTATATATCAGCTCTTATGCTAGTACCAGACTGTCTTAAATAGTGGCCTTGTAGTATAGTGTAATGCCAGGTATTGTGATTCCTCCTACTTTGTTCTTTCTCAGGATTGCCAGGGCTATTTGGGGCTTTTCTGGATTCCATATAAACTTTTGGAATATTCGTTCAATATCTGTGAGATATGCCATTGGTATTTTAATAGGAATTGCATTAAATTTATAGATTATTTTGTGTAGCATGGACATTTTAATGATGTTAGTTCTTCTAATCCATGAACACAGTATATGCTCCCATTTATTTGTAAACGGTATTTTTTTTCTTAGTTTTTCTTTCTTATAATTCATTGTTGGTGTACAAGAATGCCATAAGTTTCTGAATATTGACTTTGTATCCTGCTACTTTGCTGAATTCACTATTAAGTAGAGTATTTTTTGGTGGAGACTGTAGGTTTTTCTGTGTACATTGTCATGGCAGCTGCAAATAATGACAGTTTTACTTCCTCCTTTCAAATCAACCCTATAATCTTTATGTATTTTCTTTTCCACTAAGCCGAAAAGTACAAACATTTAAACATTCTTGGGCTTTCTGTAGAATACTCATACACTGTAGAAACCAGTCAGTCTTTCAGTGGGGGTTGAGCTCCTTAATTTTTTTTTTTTTTTATCTCTGTCATTTCTTTTCCACCCAGAATCTGGAACAAAATCTTTCTAATGGTAAATGTTCTATAAATCCCTGATACTTATTTGGTGAATGCAAGAAGACTAAGACAGGACATAAACAAAATAGAACATAAGAATAATCAGCTTTTGCCCTGGCTGGTGTGGCTCAGTGGATTGAGTGCCTGCCTGCAAACCAAAGGGTCACCAGTGTGATTCCCAGTCAGGGCACTTGCCTGGGTTGTGGGCCAGGTCCCCAGTTAGGGGACCACACATTGTGTTTCTGTCCCTCTCTTTCTCCCTCCCTTCTCCTCTCTAAAAATAAATAAATAAAATATTTTTTTTTTTTTTTTTAGATTTTATTTATCTTTAGAGGGGAAGGGAAGGAGAGAGGGAGAGAAATATCAGTGTGTGGTTGTTTCTCATGCGTCCCCTGCTGGGAACTGGCCTGCAAACCAGGCATGTGCCCTGACTGGGAAGTCAACTGCACGCAATCCTTTGGTTCGCAGGCCCGCGCTCAATCCACTGAACTACGCCAGCCAGGGCTAAATAAAATCTTTTAAAAAAAGAATTTAAGTGCCTTTTTTTGTGGAGGTGGGCTGACAGGGAACTGATTGAATAAACGTGGGTTTGTCCAGATTGGAATGTTATGTAGTTGAAGTGTGTGTATTAACGTGGAAAAGTGTTCATAAGACGTTATGGGGAAAAGTAAAGCAACAAAGCCACATGAATTCTAATCTTTCATATTCTTATGAAAGATTAAATATTTATATAATACACAAAATTTTCCTCAAAATGTTAACACTAATTTTCAGGTTGTGAATTTATTTTTATTCTTTTTGCTTATGTATTTTTCAGATTTTGCTGTATTGACTATGATATTTGCATAGTTAATTAAAAGTTAATAGTTTGACCACATATTTCTGATGTAGTTTTTGAAATGACATTCTATATTTAGGAAACTTGAAAAATTACTATATTGTTTGGTTGAGGTTTGGAGAAGTACTTCTCACTGTTTTGTAGTACAGATAATTGTAGAATGAAAATGAATGCAGTATTTTCATTTAGTAATATATGAGGGGGGAAAAGAATTTTTTATGTCTTTCTTGCTGACCTACGTTAGCATTCTTTTCCCCTGCAGGCCAAGTGATGACCACTTTGTACAGATCATGTGTATCCGAAAAGGGAAGAGAATGGTTGCCCGCATTCTTCCTTTCCTCTCCACAGAGCAAGCAGCTGACATTCTTATGACGACAGCCAGGAACCTCCCTTTCCTTATCAAGAAGGATGCACAAGATGAGGTGATCACGTGTGGGAGGGAGGAGAGTCTTTTCTTTGAGTCTTTGTAGTTAATAATGTTTCTAGGACCCAAATTTCTTTTTCTCACCATTCTTTTTCTGTTGTCTTATCAAATCTTTGGCAGTATGACTTGATTATTTGAAGGAAAACTTTACTCCAGGCCTGTATCTTTAATCCCATGTTTTATTCAACAGATTGTGTTTCTAAACAAGTGGAAAGCAATAATTCTATCTCATTAAACATAGTTGTAAAGCTGTTGTCTGTATCTGAATTACTTGGGAAGCGAATAATTTAGCTGTACCTCAAATATGCTAAGTCAGAATTTACAGAGGAAAGGCCAGGGCTTCTGTGTAACAAGGTCCCCAGCTGAGTATGATGCTCACTAAAATTTGCCAGCTGCCCTGGTTAATGTGGCTCAGTGGATTGAGTGCCAGCCTGTGAACCAAAGGGTTGCTGGTTTGATTCCCAGTCAGGGCACATGGCTGAGTTGCAGGCTAAGTCCCCAGTGTAGGGCACATGAGAGGCAGCTACACATGGGTGTTTCCCTCCCTTCCCCTCTTTCTAAAAATAAGTAAATAAAATCTTTTTTTTTTTTTTTTTTAAGAAGTTTGCAAACTTAAGGTCTTGGTTACTTTGCTGGCTATGAAGTACCACTCACTGGGCTGTTGCCACTAGCTTAACTCACCTGTAGACTGAGTTGAATGGCATCCTGCCCACTGATTCAGGCCAGTGTTTTCAAGTAATTTTTATCATGATCTAAACTAGATTGGAAATTGAAACATGATTGTCAAGTTCACAACTTAACTCTTATTACAAGTTAGTCCTTACAAGTTAACTCTTGGTAGGAATCGTTCTCTGCTTACTCCTGTCCTAACACTTGAAGGATTAGAAAATTTAGAATGGTGTTAGAAGTTCAGAGAGGTTGATAAGGGTTGCACAAAGGACCGGTATTACTAACTGTGAGACTCAGAAAAATAGAATTTATGAGAGTGAACCTGTTAGACTACAAGTTGAGCAGTAACTGGGAATAGTCCCCAGGAAACGTGATCTCAAGATATTTTATCAATGGTAGAACATGGAAGAGTTGAAAATTATTTCTTCAGAAACAAGTTGAAAATACACCTTGAAATTTTGGCATCTGCAGAGGAAAGGAAGCCAAGTTTAGGTTTCATCAGCAAAGGGAAGTGAGATGAGACAAGTACATTTTTTTCTTTTTGGAAATGATTTATTTTTTTATGTTTTTTCTTAATTGTTCAGTTACAGTTGTCCCCATTTCCCCCCTGCTGCTCTCCCCTGCCCCATCCAGCCCTCACTCCAAAGACAGTGCCCTCCCCATTGTCCTTGTCCGTGGGTCCTTTCTACACGTTCCCCTTCCCCCGTTTATCTCTTCCCCCCTCCCCGCCGGTAACTGTCAGTTTGCTCTTGATTTCCATGTCTCTGGTTCTTTTTGCTCATTTGTTAATTAGGTTCCACTTATAGGTGAGATCATATGGCATTTGTGTTTCACTGCTTGTCTTATTTCACTTAGCATAATATTCTTTCGTTCCATCCATGCTAAGATTTCAAGAATGAAAAATGGATCAGAGGAAATGGGTTAAAGGTTAAGGATCTGAGGTTATCCTAGAAAGAAGAAAACAAAATTAAAAGTAACAGTTGCCTAACAGCCTGTAAGTTGTGGGAAAGGAGATAGGCACTCAGTCATCTCAGAGGAACTCATCAATGGAAAAAAGTTCTGGACAGCTTTATTCACTCAGCAAACGTTTACTGAACGCTTCTAAGTACCAGGCACTGTTTTTTGGTTCTAGAAATAGAGCAGCTAGTTCTAGGTGCTGGGAGCTAGGAATCCAAAGATGCCTGCTTCAGTGGAGCTTATATGCTGGTGAGGAGACTGTGGTTAAATACCATATTTTGCCATGTATAATGTGCACTTTTTCCCCCAAAATTTTTGAGGGGAAATAAGGCTGCTCATTACACAAGGGTATAATGATGGGTATATTCATTAATGCATAGTAAACCACATCACTACATATGATTTCCTTGAAATAATAGCTGATTCCAGGACTGAGGCTTATAAAATGTGCAAGATAATCTTGGAATATCTTCTGCCAGAAAGCAAGGGAGCTAAAAGATGACTAGGGTCCTGTGTAATAGATGCACAAACCAACTTGAAGGGGCTCCTTTTGGTTGAAGGTGAAACCGTTGGCATCTTAAAGAAAAATTACAGCAGCAGGTTGAAGTAGATACAGTTCATGAGTTTATAATGGATATCAAAAAGTTTGTTAATCATCCTCTGTGGTTGCTAGCCCATCATGATCTGCAAACTGATAAGAAAAAGATCCAAGCATTCATTCTGCCTTTCCATTACAACCAAATACGGTGACAAGAGAGAGTTGATAATGGGAAGTGCTTTATAGAAGAATTTCAGCTGCTGAATGCAAAAATAAAAGATTCGGAAGCCATTTTACAGCCCCCAGTGGACAAAGCAGTCAGTCTAGACAGCCATCACTGTTGCTAAAAGCACGAAGTGAAAGGTGGATGGGGAACGTTACGGGGGTTTGGAGCAGGCTAACAACACCCAAACCCACTGATCACCGTCAACTCCACCGAGAAGGGGACAGCCAGACGCCTTGTGCATGGACGTGATGCGGCAGAGAGCACACCAGCTCTGCCCCCTCCACCAGCCCCCGTTGAACTGGAATCTAATCAGACCTCTAATTTAACTTACCAGCTTTTATTGGGGGGGGGAAGGGTAGAAGAATCTGTTAAATGACACCCCAGCGGTGTAATTACTCAGATCCAAACTGGGACAGATGACCCAGTTTCTTCGACAAATAAATGATACGGGAATAGGTGATGGCCAGGACAAAGGACCTGTTCACAGATTTTAAAAGCCTTACCAACCAAGTGCAATGTGTGTGTGCATCTTATTTGAACTGTGATTAGAATAAACCAGCTGCTAAAAGACATTTTTTAGACATTTGGGGAAATTTGAATTGGGGGTAGATATTAGATGATACTGAGGAATTAACTTTTGTTAGGATTGATAATATTGTGGATTTTTTCCTTGAGAGATTTTGTTAGAGATGCAAACTTAAGTATTTATAGATGAAATGAAAGACAGGTGGAACCGATTTATAAAATTGGCAAAATACTGATTTAATTGTTGAATTTGGATGATGAGTACATGGTCTTCATTATGTTGTTTATACTTTTGTGTATATTCAATGACACTTTAATTTTTAAAGCTTTGTTTATTTAGAGGTAGTAGATCATAGAAAGTAGTCTAGTTTCCATCTTTGGCTGCTATTTAAAGTAAAACCAACCATCTTTTTTTATACCATGGACAATGAGTGCTAGAAGCACTTTTGATTTCTTTTCATATGTTGTAACCTAATTATGTTGGTAGTTCCGTGTTTTAACTTTTTAATCTGGGCCTATGGCCAAAAGGAATGATCGGCTAGCAGGCTAGAATCCATCAACCTTGGATTCTGTTTAGCTTTGTAACAATGAACACTGAATTTCTGATCACTTAGCTTCTCTAATCTATACAATTGGTGGATCCTTTCTCTGTTTCCTCATTTGAGATTGTATAAAGATAAACCAAGATAGAATTAAGTGTGAACAATACTTCTCAGGAATTCTGTAGTACTCAGAATTTACCTGTCTTAGAGTATTTCTCAAAATATATTGAAATTGCCTAATTACTCATCTTCCCCTCTGTATTTTAGATTCTGAGGGTCTGTCTGTCCTTATAACTTTTGTTTTTAGCTCAAGTACCTGCTACATTGTGGGCATTTAAATGTTTGTGGGATAAGTTAAAGTGCTGATGTTTTATTGTGTATCTTGTGTATTTGAGAAGTAATTTTATACCTTTGGTTCACACAAGTCATGATGTTTCCTGTGCACGTTGAGTTGAAAAAGTACTCAGTAGATAACCTTAGACTCCATTGCTAAAATTCTAGTCGTACTGGCTAGATTCGTCAGCCCGTTTTCGTTAACTCTCTGGCCGCTGAGTGCACAACTGAGCCTCCTTCCACCCATGCCCTCTGGCAGAGGGTGGCTGAAGCAACAGTTACCAGTGTCTAATGCTTTTGTTTCTTTTCTGTAGGTGCTGCCATGCTTACTGAGTCCCTTCTCTCTCCTCCTCTATCATCTTCCGTCAGTGACTGTCACCAGCCTTCTGCAACAGCTAATGAACCTACCTCAAAGTGCAGCTGCACCAGCACCCTCTAATCCTCACCTCACAGCTGTTCTCCAGAACAAGGTGTGCTGGCCTTTTTTGTTCTGGAACTTTACAAGGCTTCTAAATTACACTTGTAGATAACAGTAATGGCTACTGTGGCTGTGGCGACTTATTAAAAAGGTTTCCTTCAGTCAGGAGTTAGATTAAGCTCCTAGTAACAGAGGCTAGAAATAACAGTGGTTTCAACAAAATAGAAACCACTGTTACTTTGTTGTTTTTCATGTCAGCAAATCTGGCACGACGGCTCCTTCGGTTTGCCTTCTCTGCCATCTTTAGCAGTGGCTGCCATACTCAGAACCTCTCAGGGTCCCTGGTGGTTGTAGAATTCAAGGTGCCACTTCCCATCAGGAAGAGGAGTGCGTGTGGAGGGCTAAAACGTGTGGACCAGCAGTCTGTCTTCCTTATTAGGACCCTTTCCAGGAGTTTTAGCCAACAAGTACTTAATCCCAAAGGCCAGTCCTAGTCACATGCCACACCTGACTTCAGGGAAGCCTAGAAACGAGTTTTGGTTCACACCGTTGTCGTCACAGATGACACCAGAGTGCCGCGGGCAGAGGAAAGCGGATCTGGTGGGTTAGCAGCAGCCTCTGTCATGAGACTGTACAGAGGACACCCCATCACATCAAGTTAAAAATCCAGAGACTGACATGGGAGGCGTAATACAGACGAAAGAACATGAGCTTTTAAACAGAGCAGGTTTTCATTCCTTGCCTGCCACTTTCCAGGTTTGTGACCCCAAACAGATTATTTCACTTTGGGCAGCCAGTTTCCTGCCGTGTGAAGTGGAGGTGATGACATCTACCTGAGCGTGTCCCTGTTACGTAGATGAGAGACAGCTGTGGACAGGTCCTGCCCAGACGTAGACGGCATGAGTTAAGGCCAGGTGGTCCAGTGAAGTGGAGGAGTAGGCTCCTCCTCGCACCTGAAAACCTGCCAAAGCGTGACTCGCAAGGGGGAGAGGAGGGGGGGTTCTGGCGCGATCAGCTGTGTGCCCTCCACGCAGTTTGGTTTCCTGGTGCTCACTTCAGTAACGGCGGTAGAAAGTCGTGAGGGCCAGTGTTGTTTTTGGACATGAAGGGAACTTTCGTGGAAAAGGCAGGGTTGCCTCTGTGAGGGGGACTCAGAAAGGTGAGATGGAATTCCCAGGTCTCCCCACCTTCTTTCCGTGAGCCATTGTAACTGTGATTGGGACAGCAACCCAGCACTTCTGGCCCTTTTTTGTGTTTTCCTTCTGTGCCTCTTTAGACGCTATGTTTTCTGCTTTTACTACCCCTAAATAAGAAGTATTTTATATATTTCTATCTCTAAAGCACGTTACTAAATTTTAATAATCCTAGATATGGTGAATATACCTATTTATCTTTCCCTCTTTTATTTTTTAGACTCTTACTAACATCATATCTAAGCCTTTGTGTTTCCACATACATGTGTCCTTTTTTAAGGAAATCTTCTCTCTGTATTCTGATCATTCCAGTCACTTCTACATTTTCCCATGGGTTTTAGCATCTTTTTTATTCATTCAGAATATCTTACTCTAATGTTTTTCATTTTTTCCATGAACTTTAATTTTCTATGTCAATTTTCATTTAACTTTTCTTTTAAAATAATTTCTGTTCTTGTAAATAGGAGAAAAGCTATGTCCCACATTATCCATGGCAAGAAATAATTGCCCCTTTACCCCAGTGGGGGTAGAGGGGAGCAGAGAGAGCCGTGGGGCACGGGGACCTTCATTTCCATTTCCTTCCTTTGCTGCTGTGCAAGTAGCAAGACGCAGTGTCTCTGCTCACGGTTGTCTGACCTTTGCCTGGTTTCATAGAGAAGCACAGCAGTGGGGTCACTTTGATTTAGTGCCGTTCCCCCTCCCTGGTGGGGGCGGTGAGATGCGGTGTTGGACCTGTCTCCCTCTCTCCCCTTGTAGTTCGGCCTGTCACTGCTCCTGGTCGTCCTGAGCCGCGGAGAAGACCTGCAGAGTTCAGACCCTGCTACAGAGTCGGCAGAGAACAGCCAGTGGTCAGTCTGGGCTGTGTTCCTTCTTCTCAGTTCTTTTTGGTAATCTTTCCTTCTTTTTCTTACATTGTTGTTACTGATTTTCCCCGTTAGGACGGAGGTGATGTTCATGGCGACCCGAGAACTTCTGCGGATTCCCCAGGCAGCCCTGGCCAAGCCAATCTCTATCCCCACAAACTTAGTATCCCTCTTTTCTCGCTATGTTGACAGACAGAAACTGAACTTGCTGGAGACAAAACTGCAGTAAGTGGGCAACAGGAGGGTTCCAATCTCACTAACGAGGGCACTTTAGAAGTTAGGGGGAGGAGGGCGGGTGGGGGGTGGGGTGGGTGGCGTAAATCTGAATTCGGTGGAAGAGATTGAAGACTTGTGTCAAATATATTATCTGCTAGATGTAAAACACAGTACTGGGTGCAGCGGCACCCTCACAGTTGACTGAATGGTAAGGGTAGAGAGCTCTTAGGTGTTTTCTTAGGAGAATTTCTACAAGGATATAATTCGAATGCAAAACATTGCCTTCTGTTTTAACTTATTCATACAAACAAGTTTTCTTTCTTTCTTTATTACCTGTAGGCTAGTTCAGGGGATACGGTAAAAGATGTGCAAGTGTGTCCTGGTCCTCCTCTTGGCTGTCACCTGCACTGCTGCCGTCACCAGCGGAGCCTTTGTGATGAGGGAGGGAGGGAGCTTGTTCCCGGAGCATCTCGTGGGGCCGATTCCCGTTCACAGGGGCTGCCTCTGAGTGCCAGGTGTTCCCCTGCTCTGTGACACTTGGATGGGTGATACTTCTGCAGGTTTCTTCTTACCTTCTCCGTTACAATTCTGCATGTCCTACTTTTACTCAATTCTTCCCAGTTTTGCGTTTTCTTTGCCCTAGAGACACAAATATAATGTCTCCCTCCATCCCACCACCGCTACTCCAGTTCAGAGTAGATCGTAGCCTGCCAAAGGGCCCCATCCCGCATCCTACTGAAGTCTTTTTTGTTGCCCCATATTAATATGAGAGCCAATTAAGTAGAAATTAATATATATACACATATGCTTGCACACACATGTTTATGTGGTCTCCAGAGGATCCTTAAAAGAATGAGTTTTAGATGGAGTATTTAGTTGACACATCCCTCCTCTAAACACAAACTGGCTAATGTATTTTTTATCTGTTTCTAGTCCATCTTGTAATTAACTTGGTGGGTTCTCCTTGTTTTAATATAAATACAAGATATGCAGCATATTTAATAAAATCAGAACTCTTAATTGGCTGATGCCCAGCTCTAGACTGAGAAGTCCTTTTTCTCCTCCCCACTCGAATTTCCTTTGTTTCTGTCCACCCGAATGGAAACAGCACATGGTTAATCCTCTTTCCTGCTACGGCTGCAGTGCACTTGAGTTTGCCCCCTCAGGTGCGTGGAAGATTGCCCAAGGTGATTCTACTGTAGAACCTGCCACCACAGTGCACCTTTTGTCTTCCTGAGACTACTTCAGTAAGCCATGCTCTCCTGTCTCGCTTGCCTGTTTTTATTCGGTGACATGGGTAGAAACTTCCCAGTGTGACCACGGACGCTAAGTCAGGCTTGCTTTGCTCTTCATTCTCCTCTACGTCGTGGGCAGAACTGCTGTTCTTGCTATTTCATCACCCGACTCCCATCCCTGGCACCCAGGGGCCTGGATATGAATCCCTGGAGGGACGGCCTGCCATGACTCTTTTCATTTGTCCCTTTCCCCCTCAGCAGTCAGCCGGGATAAGGGGTTTTGATCCCTGGTGATTATAGCCGTCACGACAATTAAATCTGAATTGGCTTTATAGGAGTGCCCTGATACACTTTTTGCTGTTCTCACCTTTTTGAATGTCGTAGGGGAGACAGGTTATGGTATTGAGAGAGAATACATGTTTTGCACATACAGGTGTCGTACAACAGTAAAAGCCTCTGTTACACCGGCCGTCCCTGTGTCCACCTCCATTTCTTCCCATTTGTAGCCCTGGGCTCCACCAGCTGTTCCACAGTGGCATCGCCTAGCTTCCTGCGACACTGTCTACTGACTGTTTTCACTAGGCACCTTTCCTGCCTTTCCACTTCACAGCCGATCAAGTGAACACTTGATTATTATTTTTTCCTCTCTGTGCTTTATCTTTTTTGTTTGGTTCTAATTAATAAAAATTAAAGTTTCTAAATTTACATTTTTATAGGGTATTGTAAATAAAAACAAATTGTATACTTGAAAAAAATGTGTGCCTGCATTTCTCCTTTCTTGATTTTTAATGTGTTTCTAGTGTATTCAGGTAGAACTGGCAAACTTTAATGTTGGAGATTTATGAGGATATTACCTAATGTTTCCACCCGTTTAATTTTGTTGTAAGGGACACAGATAAAGATCTTATGTTTACTTGGTAATGTTCCTTTAAAAACCTGTAGTGCTTTTGTTTCTCCCCTCCCCCCTTTTAACTATGAAACAGAATTATGGATTATAGTACATAAATCATCTTCATTTCCTCTATCTCTAATAGGCATATGTGATTTTTTAAAATATATATCTTATTGATTATGCTATTACAGTTGTCCCATATTTTTTCCCTTTATTCCCCTCCACCCTGCACACCACCTCCCACCTGTATCCCCCCCCTTTGGTTCATGTCCATGGGTCATACATATAAGTTCTTTGACTTCTACGTTTCTTATACTATTCTTAACCTCCCCCTGTTTATTTTCTACCTACCATTTATGTTTCTTATTCCCTGTAGCTTTCCCCATTCTCCCCTCCTTCTACTGATAACCCTCCATGTGATTTCCATTTCTGTGATTCTGTTTCTGCCCTAGTTGTTTGCTTATCGTTGATAGTCGTGAGTTTGTTGTCATTTTACTGTTCATATTTTTTATCTTTTTCTTAAATAAGTCTCTTTAGCATTTCATATAATAAGGGCTGGGTGATGATGAACTCCTTGAACTTGACATTATCTGGGAAGTACTTTATCTGCCCTTCCATTCTAAATGAAAGCTTTGCTGGATAGAGCAATCTTACATGTAGGAAATCTTGCCTTTCATGACTTGGAATACTCTTTCCAGCCCCTTCTTGCCTGCAAGGTTTCTTTTGAGAAATCCGCTGACAGTCTGATGGGAACTCCTTGTAGATAACTCCTCTCTGGTTTTAAGATTCTCTTCATGTAGCCCAGTTTAGCCTTAAGCGGCCTTCATGATTAGCTCTGAATTTCATCTCACAATACATATCTTCAAAGCAGATGGGGAAAATTTGCTAATTCGTTATAGTAAAGCTATGTTTCAGACTTCAGTATCATCTTTAACATACTCAAGGTAAAAGGCTCCGCTCTTTCTCCCCTGCTGTGCCATCGTCCTGTGTGCAGTCGCGTCTTTCATGCACTGTGTCTGCCCACCAGGTGTTCAGGATCAAGTGATGCTTAACCATGAAACAAAACTGGGACCGCCCCCAGTCCCCAGTGGGTTTGGAGGAAAACTAACAAAGTCAGGTGCAGCTCCGAGGGGAGACACCTGGAGCAGAACCCGTGACCTGTGAGGAACGACATGTGAGACGGTGCGCACGCTTGTGCTCTGTCACAGGCAGCAGCCTCTTCCACAGGAGGCTGGCGGTGCCACCACTCTGGGCAGGCGGGCGTGTTTTACAGAAAAAGTCATTTTTCTCTTGGCTGTGTTTCTGCACTAGTTGACTAGTTCAGTAAGAAACATGTGAGACCTTCAGTTTGAATAAAAAGACACAGCAAACAAGTAGAAAAAAGTCAAAAATGATAAAGAGGGAGGGGATAATTTAACATTGGCTTTCCACTTACATGAACCTTATCTTTACCCCAGTGAGTGAGTGGACAGACCCCTTGAGTTAAACAGCTTGCCCGGGGTGACGCAGCAGAGCAGGAGATTCATACAGGACATTCTTACCGCTGTGAAGGAGTAAAAGTGTCTTCTGCTAGACTTGCTCTCACCCCTACATGAAAGAACAAAGTCTCATTAGATAGCTCTGCTTGGATAGAAAGGAAGTGGCTCTAGGGTGCCCCTGGGTTCCCAGAGGTGAAGATACAGAACGTGACAAGTGAGGAAGACCTTAGAGACTGGTCCCCAAGCCAGGGAGCTGAAACAGGGCAGCAGCTTGCCTCGGGTCCAGTGGCTGAAACTCGAATCCGTAGGCTCTGCTCCTCTGTAGGTCGCAGTTCACCACGGCCTGAGAAATACCAGGCTTAGCCCGGAAAACGTCAGTGTTACGTTCCTTGTGTGAAAAAGCTGAGGTTTAGGAAAGATGTGCTTCTCCTTTATAACAGGAGGTTACAATGACTACCAAATGATTTTGATGCATGTAGTATATTCAAGATACTGTTCATCCTAGGTGCTTAAAAAGTCATACTTAAGACTCCGAGTAAACTATGAAAGCAATGTTAGCCTCCCTGCTAATGTATGTCAAAAAATAAATTAGGTGGTGCACTAAAGCAACTTACAATGGTGTGTTGCAGTCAAAAACTGGCATCAAGGTGTATAACTTATTTAAAAAATAGAAGACCCAGGTAAGATGTAACAGACTTGGGGATAATAATTTTCACAAATGAAAATGCAAGTAATTTTAATAGTAAGAAATTTACCCCCAGCTCTGGCTGGTGTGGCACAGTGGATTGAGGGCCAGCCTGTGAAGCAAAGGGTTGCCGGTTTGATTCCCAGTCAGGGCACATGCCTGGGTTGTGGGCCAGGTCCCCAGTTGGGGGTACATGAGAGGCAACCACACAGTGATGTTTCCCTCCTCTTTCTCCCTCTCTTAAAATATTTTTTTTTAATTTCACCCCCCAGTAGTAATCAGATAAAAAAATTTTTTAACTCACCAAATTAACAAAATTTTTAGAAATCTTGTGATCGTTCATGGTTCTGCCTAACTAACAGGTAAGACCCACCTATGCTCTTTTCATCACTTACAGACTTTGAGAATATGTAAAATCCTCATCGTTCAGAGTTCCCCCACCCATTAGTCTAGGATACGCCTGTCTCTGTAACATTGTACCTTCTAAAGAGTTGATACGCATAATTGTTTATGTTCATACTCCTGTGCAATGAAAAATGGAATCCTACCCTGTCTCACCAGCTAGGATATTGCTAAGGAGTGATTTATTCGAGAAATTAGCTCTTGGACAGTGAACTTTCACAGTTACAGTTGTCCAGAGTACTGTTCATTTGAAAGGCCCACTGTATCCCTTTTGGCAGCTATAACGTGGGCCCAACAGTCAAGGACCTTCTGTCAAACTAAAAATGTCCATCATTGCTTTTGTCCATGTCTGTGAACTGGCCGCAGCCACTCCCTTAGACATCCAGCAGGGGACCTTTAGTGCTCGAGAACAATGCCCTAGGACAGAGTACCTGCACAATTCTAATTGATTAGCAGTGACCATTGTATTGGGAACGAAGCACCAACTTTACATCTGGAAGTGACGACTACTTAAAATCACAAATCGGTTATGTGCAAAATTGTGGTCCCCCAGTGTCTCCGGTCAACCTGGATCCTCCGCACGCAGCTCTCTTAGTATCACCACCGAGGGTACTTGGGACTGTTCATGCACCCGAAGGAGCTACTGTGCCTTTGTCAGTCTGGGACCACATTCCTTCCTCACTTTGCTTTAAAACGGAGGGTACTTGGGACAGTTAATATCCCCGAATGCCACTACTGTACTTAATGTTACTAAAGAACCCGCCCATGATGACCTTGTATTAAACCAGGGCCCTCGGGCCAGTTAGTGTGTGAACGTGCCCCTGCTGCTCTGTGGTTACTCAGAACCCACTAATCCTCACTTTGCACTCAAACCAGGCCCTTGGAACAATAAATGTGCTTAAATGCCAAAAAAAAAGAAGACAGAAAGAATGCTTGTGAGGATTTGGAACTGCCACTTACACAGATGGGGTACGGGTCTGCATTTCTGGGAAGTCCTCCAGCGATGTGAGGAGCTCCAAAACCATTCATAGCCTTCGACTAGTTAGTTTGGCTTCAGAAATCTAAGCAAAGACTCCCAAGTAATGATACTTTTCACAGCATTATTAATAAGAGAAATAACCTAAATGTCCAAGATCACAAAAATGGTTAAGTAAATGATAGGCCAAGTGTCATGGATACTTAGGCAGAATATTGAATCATGGAAAGTGTTTTATAATAGAATGTGGGGGAAAACCATAAAATGTTTCACTTCGAACCGAATTCTTTTTAAGGAGATGCCTGTATGGTGGTGTGAATATGGGGACCTTTTGCTTTTCAGCATTTTTCAA